TACTTTACATGAAGCCTCCCGTATATTTTCAAAATTTTCTCCAAAAATTCTTTATTTTTTTCTCCGATTTTTTCTTTAAATTTCTTGTACGAATAGAATAAAATACACCTATAAAGGAGGTATAGGTCCGATTTTTACGGTTAACTAAATTTTCAAAAATTGCAAAAGTTTTAATTTTTACCGTGTCCTCCTACATCTATCCGTGAAGTTCAAACAAAAATGACGATACAGATTTTACTTTCAAATGGGATTTGTTGTTCATAATTAGTTCTTTTATAAAGATCATGTACATTTTCTTGAAAATTTTAGTAAGTTTTCGAGCAATAGATACAATTTTTAAAAATTACAAAAACAAGATTTTCTCAAGAATAGCTACAATATTTTTCTTTAAACTTTTGTTAGGGATAGCGCTAAATGCACTTTATAAGATGACAAACTCTGTATTGCTCTATTTTTATTTTTTCAAAAATTACAAAAATGTAATTTTTACTGGGCTCTCACGTCGTTAATATTTACATTAGCGGCGATTTATTGACACTAATATATTTATGAGTACACGTGCTTTAAATAACGTCACAAAGTTTCTCGAAAACTCTACCGTTTTCTGTGAAAACGAGTTCAAAAATCCGAATTTGAGAAACGCCATTTTCTCAAAAAGAAAAAAAACGGCCCCAACTTTTTCTTCAAACTTTTTGAACGGATAAAGCAAATTGCACTCTTTAATACAACGTAAAGTTAATTTTCTGGTATTTTTGTTTCTTAAAAAATTACTGAGTTTTTTGAAAGACCGCTCACGCCGTTATTATGAACATTTCCAGCAATTTGTGAATACTATTGTATTTGTGAGTTGAAGTGCCTGAAATGATAACATAAGAAGTTTTTCAAAAACTTAAGATTTTGTGAAAAAACTTCAAATTTCGAATTTACAGAAGCGCTTAAATGCTATTTTCTTAAAAACGCTTCAAATTTTTCACAAAAATTGCCATTCAGGGCGAAGTGACATATTCTCGAGCTTTTAAATATTTGAAAAAAATAAAATCCTGAGAAAACTCAGGTTTTTATGTTAAGTGGTTAATCAAATAAAGTAACTACAGCACAATAACCACAGCATACTAACATGCTAGCAAAACCACTTAACAGAGAACAAACTGGGCTATAGGAAGGAATTTCCCATACTTTCTCCCTGTAGAATAAACTCCAACTTCAGGCCCCCCAAGAACTGGATTTGTCCAGCATTTGACCAGCCTGCATTCAGAGAATTGATTCTCACTGATTAGCGAACGTATCGAACCTATTCTGTTAAATAACTATAGAATTCCAATTACTAACAAGAGAGGAAAAAAAACTACACTACAAATTATAGGGTAATTAACCCTTCACTTCGCAAAACTTATAAGGCCATAAGCCATTTGATTCCTTGAGATTTTGTAGTCAAATTATAAAAAGATTCATGGCTTAATAACTCCTTTTGTGAATGGTATAGACTTACCTAAAACACTACACCCCAGAGCTGCCAAACCTCCCAACTTCATGCCAGCGAAAAGGCCAACGGGACCACCCAAACAACCTCCAATCAAAGCACCAGCCAGAGGATAAATAGATGTCTTATATTTAGAGACTCTTCTTAAAGTATTTGTTCCTTCCAAAATATTTTCTTCAGCTTCTTCCACATTTTCCTCGATAATATCCACTTTTTCTTTCTGTTCCTACAAAAATAAATAGTCTTGCATTATCATTACAATGTGCTATCTTATTTTCATAGAACTTGTATTAGTAATTAAGTTTAATCAGTTAATCAGCATAATTTAATCAAGATTTGTATGATCATAATGAAACAAGAATCGCTTTTGGAGCATTGGACGTCAATGAAGATATTAGGCAATAAATTCAAACGCTACACAGACAACACATGCAGATGTTTTATCACCATAATTTGGAAGCTCAAATAACTTATATACAAAACAATGGAGCATCTACAATAATACTTTAATTTAATTACTTACTTCTACTACTTTGGCAAATTCTTGGAATAAATCATGCACATCTTGAACTTCAGCTTGCAGATTCTCCCAGGATTTAAGACATTCTTCTCGTTTCTTAACTTCGTCATCTCTTAGAGCAAGTTTCAACTGAGAGGAGCTAATTTCATTAGTGCTATTATTAATTTCATTTTTGCATTCCATTTCTTCCTCATTGAATTTTTCGGCTGAAATCCACAGATTTGTCTTCTGTGGATTCATAGCTTATGAAAGCAATTACAAATTATTCTTGTAATGTTAAATTAAATAATCAGCTCAATCCAAAACTTTATGTGCACACTCACCTAAATAGTCTTCAATAGCCTTTAAGGCATTTTCCCGAGAAGAAGCTGTTAGTTTATCAAATTTTTGCAAGTCAGAATCAAACACCTGATTCCTCAGCATATCCATTTCATATAAAAGCGCTTTCAATTGTTTTATTAACCTGGTGGCATTAATTTGTTCACGATGAACTCGCTCCCATTCAGCATTTTCCTGAAACTTAAAAAGCAAATCACCAAATAGCTTTCACCTTTATGAAATTCTTGTCAATAAATGGAAAACTGATTATTATATTAAAACTACAACTTATTTATAAACTAATTTCGAAAGGTACAAAAGTATCAATTTATAAATGTTACAGAAGTCTGTTTCTAATATTTCAAATTCCGTGATAGCAATTCAATACTATATTGAAAAACATTGCCAACGATCAACATCAGTACATCCATTTTCATAAAAATATAAATGAGAATTACATAGAATCCAAGAATTTGAAAAATGATTAATCGTGCACAGTCATTACATACAATCCTTCCACACAAAAGTTGCATTGGTGTGTGTGGCACACCAGCATTTATCTAGTCTCTAACAGGTAATAATACTAGATTTTGCAAAAATATTAACATTTTATATACCTTCCCTAAATTCATGATTTAGTTCATTATTGTTCAAATTTTTACCAACTAAAGAACATAATACATCAAAGTACAATTTTTTCACAACGTCAGACAATTCCAGATTAGGGAAATAAAAAATACAAAATCAAAACAATTCTAAAATTATATAAAATAACTATTAATTACTTTAAATTGTTTTTCAGAATAAAAAAAAGCTCAATTGAAGTTGTCCTCACTCTTTTATACTAATGATGGAAATTCGTACATATCATGCAATTAGTTTTCGACAGCATACATAGTTATAAGTTTGTGCAATTTATGGTGTGAAAACGCTCACACTGTCTTTCACATTCACTGCATATACATTTGTCATTTGGTTCCTGGAAACTCTGTCTGACATATCCAGTGGTGAAACCTGTGCACTGCAAAACACAAAATCACATGACTTGCACATGATTGTAACTGCCTCTGTCCATTCTCTATTTATCATCGCAGAAGTACAGTAGAAATCTGGCCATATTTATTTCCGTCTTTTTTCGTTCGTTGAGCATTACTATTAGCACATCAGTCTTATATATAAAATCAACTTCCTACTTTCCTTGAATATTTTTCTCCAGGTAATTGCAACAAAAGAAAATCATGAATAGCAAATACAGCTGTAATTCTCTCTTCTTACTATATTTTTCTTTTCTCAGGAAGAATTTTTCTCAATTTTCATTATTTCCTTATCTAATTACAAGCATCCATAATGGCTCCATCACTAAATGCAGGTACTTGCAACAATTTTTCCCACTCTTAATTAGTTTTTCACTACTCTCATGAACTTAAAACAAAAATAATCTCTAATTACATTTCACTGAATTAAAACTACAGAAAAAACACCCAAGGTTGGAAATTTAATTGCTCCTACAAAAGGCACACTGGTGTGTAGTGCATTCCTGCCTTAATTCTAATGCATCTACGAAAACAATTGAATAGTTTATTTTAGAAATCTGTCATACGCCAAAATCTAAAACACACAGCGATGGATTATTGTTCCAAGAGGATAGGCACATCATTTAGTGAATATTTACATGAAAAATATTCATTTTTAACATAAATACACAAATTAAAACATAAAAAATTTTGAAATCTGAAAACTTGGGAGACTTTTCCTCAGTTCTCTCAAAACGAGGAATTTGGCGTTTGATGGGTTTCTGAAATAAATGAGTCAATTGGGACACAACTTGAGTAGTAAATAAAAGCAATAATAAGGGTACAATACCTATTGAATTTAAAGATGGTAATTTTATTTATTTATTTTTATTCACCTTTTGTGTGCACGATTGTGCAGGGTAAAGGAGTAATGTCCATACCTCTAAATGGTTGCACGAAATGAACATTATAATATCATTAACCTTTGCCTAATATCAATTTTCAGTTGGCTAACAAATCTATCAGTTTCTCACTGCCTGTATTTCTGCAATCTTAATAATTTAACAAGAAAATCAAAATGTACAATTTTTTTTTTGGAAAACTTGTTCTCAATGTATGCTCTTAAAGTTCACTTAAAAAAATGGTTAGACATCATAACAAACACAATCAAAATAATTTAGGACTATACAAGTCGGTTCGTACAATCATGTCTTAAATGATTTAACGCAAAAATTGCCTATACTCAAAATAATCTCGTTTCTTAATTACATGACATGCCACTGTCAATAAAGCTAAACTGAGGCGACACACAAAAATTGAATACCTTTTGAATGTTGCTTTTGTGTTTATGTAGAAGATCGATGTGATGGGGAATAGCCACATCATTAAATTTATGTAAATGTATTTCAATACGTTTCAAGGGTTGTTTGCTAACGTAACTTGAACTGTCAAGAGACATCATAGAAAAGAACGATCCAATTTTCTACTTGTCGATAGTTCGAGTTCAAAGCATTCTCGTTCACTCGCACCACGATTCAGCTGCGCAAAACACATCACACAATGATCGGCAATGTTCCAAGTCGCTTCTACTTCACCAAATTATAATTCTTTGTGTCCATCGGAGCCCGTTGTGTACAAAGAACACACAGGAACACAATGACCATTGAAGGCGTATGCAAGGCTTAGATTTTGAAAACACGTTGATTTGCTAATGTGCTTTATCGTCTCGTCTAACCCATAGTGGAAATGTTTACATCATAGTCTAACCAACTAGAACCAAATAAACAAATTGGCTCGTTTCGGCAAAAGTGTTGCGCTCGTCATTCGTAAGTTAATCTTTCGGTTACCTCACGAAATTCTCAACCAAATGGACGTCACTTCTAAAAGTTTACTTATGATGTAGCTATTATATCTTACAGCCTCGCAGCTTAAAGACGCATAACCAATGCAAATTTTAAAATTATAAAAATTTATTAAAATTTCAGAAATACGTAAGGTATTGACAAAGCAATGGAAATCTTCAAATGTACAATATGAAGGCCTACTCAGTTAATTTTGGTTAATTTATGCTTGCCCTATTTAGGGAGTACAGTTAAAACAAATCTTCGCTAACTTGAACCCATACAAAATAATTTTCTCCGCCGCGCAATAAATGCCTCCTGGAATATACGGTCCCTCCAGTATTTTTTATTTTTGGTATATTTTGACTGGTTCATATTCAATTTTAGTACGATTTATTTAGTCATGCACTTGACGTTAAACAACTTGCTGTTTTATCCAATTGTGATATGTCGCAAGAGTGACGTTGCTATGAGGATTTTCAAGCTACCGATTGGATGAACTGTGAACAGCTGAGTCAAGTGCATGGTTAAATAAATCCTAGTGTAAGCTTATAATACCAAAGATGTTATAACTATTATTTTTTTGACAGATATATAAAATATTTAAAACCGTTTTGTGTGTAATTCTGAGAATTTATTCCCTAAGGGCATGAGATTCGTACTACTCGAATTCAAATTCCCTCCAGCTTCTTGCCCGATTCTAAAATGGCGACCGGCTTCCAGAATGTGGCCGGAATGGGTCGTACTTCTTGAATGTTGAAGCAGGGACGATTTAAATGGTAATATATACAATTTTGAAATAATTTCAATGGTTCGTAATTTATCACAAACGTAACGTCAAAAGTTGGCGGAGGGGGCAATTTCACCCTAATATCTTGTCGAAACTTTATTACGAAACTGTATGTGGTGGCACGTAAATCGTGTTTTTGTCTACGTAAGAGATGGAGATTCTAATATATTTATTCGTCCACACAGAGCAACATGTCATTTGGACCTTACGGTTCTTTATCCTCTTCCATATCTGCAGTTTAGTTTGGAAAAGATGCATATCCTAATACGAATATAATTTATTAGTTTAAAATCCATGTTATTTTTTCTAATTCATTATCATTTTCATTGATCAAACAATTGAATGTGTAATAAACGGGCAATATTGTAGGCTTATATTCAGTAAGAATTGCAAACGAGTACACATTTTTTTGTGGAAAGTTAGTGACAATTTTTGCAAAAACGAAAATTTTACTAAACTTAGAATACTACAATTGATTTGTCTATTTATTTACGAGTCAGCGGTATTCCTCAAAATTGTCTTACTCAAGGGTATTTTCATGCAATTCAGTTATTTTCTTCTCTGACTTCTCCATCTGACCGGTTTCCATACTGGAGGTTGGAGAACAAGTCACATTGGCACCTGTAACTAATGGAAATATATTTGAAAAATCTAATGCAGAAACAATACACCCAAATTTCTCAGACCTTATACATTACGGATGTTGCGCATTGCTTTTATAAAACAATGGCTTGTCAAGCTCTTAAGTTGACTGAAACGTAGGAAATAACACCATACTAGATGGAAATGAATCAGGTTACGAACTGAAACCAAAACACTAGATAACAATAAACTAATTTGTTGTTTCAATTGGGCCGTATGGCTGGCATATGCAATTTATGAATTTATTTATTATATTTTTTTTATGAATTTGGTAAAACATTCAAATGCAACAGGCAGCAATTTATTTCCCACTCACCTACTGTAACTCGTTATCATAAATCGATATATTTCACTCACCTTCCCGATCTAGAGGGAAACGTGACGAAACTTTTCTCTTTATCCCGACGAACAGCGTTGGCGAATCCTGGATCTCAACATTTCGCCATCATGATCTGCAACTCTTGATAACAAAGCACACCACCAAACATCGCTCTCAAACGAAATGTCACAAACACGTTGGCATGAGCAGCATCCTCTACGCCAGGAAGAAATGAAATTCGAGGTTAAAATGAATGGTATTACTCGCGCAACTTTTCTTGAACGATGACCTTCATCCCCCTCCCTTGTGCAATAAACAGTTGAAGGCAAAAGCTCGCAGCGGGCACTGATGATAACCTTCCAAGCATTAAAACTTCGTTGGCGCGAAACAGAAGCTAGTCAAAGCCAGTTGCTTTCATAGTGCAGGACCCCTATTCAGATTTATTGTCAATATCGAAAGAAATGACTGAGTCAGGTCCAGGTCCTTCAAGGGAATCACCTAAAACTCCCAAAAAAGTTAAGCACAAGATGCAGTTTTGACTTTCATTTCACACACGTTGGCATTACTTAAAATACTCTAGTGGCCGACTTTGTAACTAATACCCTCACTCCACCCGAAATCGTCAATCCATCGTTCAAGAAAAGTTTCCCGAGTAATAGAAGTTTCGTAAGCTCGCATCGCATCATGACGAGCAAATTTTCGAAGTAGCGTTTGAAATTACGCGTGAACCTTAAAATAGATGCCGCCACATGAAAATGACGCTAGCGAATCCTCTAGTCGATACTCTCAATCAGCGAGAGTTTCCCCTCCTATTGTATATTCCTCCATGATACAACCACGAAGTATACAATACCACCTGTATACTTTGAGAATACAATACAAAAGTTTTCTTCCAGCAGTCTATTGCCTGGAGCAAAGAGTATATCTCTTTGGGCTGGAGCGCAAGCTGTGTGTCAATTGAGTGTGTTATTGGAGGTTAGGGGTAGATTTCACGAGTGATATACATTGACCCAATATAATCATAAAAAAGAAGATAGTATTACTCGCCCAACTTTTCTTGAAAGATGTATTGAAGAAATGCGGGTAGAGTGGGGGTATTAGTTACGAAATTGGCCACTAGATTTTATAAAGCAATGCCAATCTCTGGAGAATCAGTCATGCCTTCGCAACGTTCTCAATAATTTGCGTTCTAACTTTCTCACGCGTTCTCCTGTAATAAATCTTTATCTGCTTTGGTCAGTTCTTTAGATTTTTGGAGAAAATATCGGATAGAAGTTGTCGTCTTCAAAAGAAATTTGTTTCTATTTCGCGCCAGTGAAGATGTGTTTGGAATGTTGTCATTAGCGCTCGCTTTTGCCTTCATCTGTTTATAGTGCCAAAGAGAGGGGAAGCAAGGTCATCGTTCAAGAGAAGTTGTGCGAGTAATAAACATGGCCGGTCCGGTTGGACGAGATCGTTCAGGCAGTTGTGCCGTAGCGATTTCGAACCCAAGGATCGCGGGTTCGAGTCCCGCCTCGGGCATGGTTGTATTGTGTTCGTCCTTTCACACCCCAATCATCATATCGTGTCATCCTCATAGTTACCCTACCATTACAGGCAATAGCGGTCGCTAATGACCTAGTAGTTGATGTGACCTTAAATAACAAAAAAAAAGAAAAAATGTATGAATTCGACAAACATCGTGTGGATGAAGGTCAAAATTTCAAGGAATCACTGCCGATAACGAAAATATTGGCACAGGTAAAACAGAAACCAATCTTAATAAGACACAGTCTTCTCTCTTCTCTGTACACAATCGTCAATTCTTTGGCAATATTGTTTCTTTATTCTTGACTGAGAAAAAGATGTAAGAGCTCTCTTTACATGAGATTTTGAATTACTATCTGAGTTCTCTGATATTGCCATTCGCAAATTTTCTCGAGCCTTCTGCCTTCTCTTTTTGATTCACATGGAGAAAACCCTGACAATTTTGTGGGGATGGCCTTTTTCTTGAGTCTGAGTCGTCCCATTGTATACTGTGCCTCGTGACTTTTCTTTATATCATAAGGAATCGCAACGAATTTCACTTTTATCCAAAGGAAGCGCAACTACCTTCAAAGAACTTACAGAAGTAGGACAAACAAGGTCTAACAATTATTTCTCTTAAATGACTTATATCAGAGTTCCTTCTTCAATTGGCTCTACGGCTTCAATTGGCGGAAACGGAAAGTGAACGGTTGCACTACACGTATAAAAAACAATCTTCATTGGTATCACGCAACTACTAATCCTTCTAGCACCTGCGAGAAAGAATCTTGAATTAATGATTATGCAAATAAACCTCGGCACCCTGCCCAATCCACTGTGTGCACAGATTGTGTAAACATAAGATGGAGGAATCTAAGGGTGTCGTCACAAACAAAGCTGGACTCCAACGCCTTCTATAGGTGGCATTGGGAAGAATCAACAAGCACCGAAACAAACACAAAAATGTAATAGAATGTCTAATGATATCTGTAGATTACGGTATAGAGAAACGTTCCTTTGATACCTTCGGCCTCAAAATTCTGAGTTTTAAGGCCCTAGAATGCTTCGTTTAGGAGTTATTTAACTATATAGATTTTGACAATGAGATCTAGTGTTGCGGGTTGCATTTGACTGCATAGTTAGATATGTTTTTTCAACTAACCTTCATATTTGTAAAGTCAACGTTCAGTTCGTCATGTCAATGTGAAATTCTCTTTCTTTAAAGAACTCATTTATCAATATTGGTAGCGTGTTAGAGCCGCAAAAGATATGCATATTTCTGAAATAATATAGTAGAGAATTGTGACATAACAACCTGAAAGCTTTAATTTTCCTGGGTAAGTTGGACGAAAATTCCACGTTGAATGGTATAAAACATTCACAAAGTTTGAATATAATCCATTATAAGATAAGGCTCAGTGTTTCCTATTCCGAGCTTGGCTTCAAAATGTAGTTAACAAAGCAAACGAGACTTTTACTGTCACAGGATTTTGCAATTGGAAAAGGGTACCGCAAAATTTGATAGCCACTAAAAACGTTAGTCTCATGTAGATAATATTTTAAAGTTAATTTTGCTCAAAGAAGCTGCACAAATTGGTAGCTGAGAAAGTGATCGTGTAATATTGAAAGGAAGTAGAAGAAAATATCTGAATGCAGTTTTTGAGACCTTAATTTTTGTGGAAGAAAAGCAATGCTTCATGAGGCCGCGAGGAGACATATTTCTACATATAAAGGAAACATTTTGGTGTAAATGGAGCTGAAGTCTAAAGATAGTTGTTAATTAATAGTTTTTTCATTGACCGACAGAAGAATTTTCAATATATGACTGGAAAATTTCAAAATGAGCTCTGATGAGTGATCAAATAAAGGGAACAATTGCTAATCAAAAGATTCGCATTTTCGCTTTCATTGCAAATGAAAAAAGATATTGAGAAGCATCAGCAAGTCGCTGTGATGTTAAGGCGTGTTGACAACGATTTATAGATACTCAAATCATTGTAGAATTTTACCGTACTGAAACAACCGACGGTGAATTATTGGCTGCTTTATTGGAGTCAGTTTTAGATTCCTTAAAACTGGATATTCAGAACATTTAGACAATCTAGGTGCACAATGTAATGAGGGTGCTACATATATGCAGGATCCTATAAAGAGGTTGCGACAAGAATACTGCAAAAGAAATCCAGTAGCGATTTACGTTCATATATAGAGAATCCTTAACGACCATAAATATATTCCGCAATCGCAATATTGCTAATAGGTATGTAATATTACATCCAAATTTCTCTCATACACTTCGATAATTATTTGGAAAATACTTAAACAAATGAATCATCAAAAATACAATGTCGTCTAAATGAAAACAGCTTTCTGCCATTGAATTCAATGTATCCACTGGTGAGGCTGCGAAATATTGCTTAGATAATTGGGAGAGCTCTAGTAGAAACTGCAACGAGACGTTTTATGCATCACTTTCTGTGTTTTCATCAGACGATAGAGTTCTGAAAAAAGTGACTCATATATAACTAAAAATAAATCTATACCGTAAGAATCAATGAGTATTGGAGAGATTATCAAGGTTACCTCTGTCTGTTCTTACGCATTTCACGTCATTCATGCTTCCTGCTTCTTCGCTCTGCGTCTTAGAGCACTAGTTCAAAGAAGCTACATGATAATTGCTTGCTGTCAACCAATTTTACAACCACCAACTTTCAATGCGCCCAATACCCTTAGCTTCTCTGTACAAATGCTTAAAAAATGGTCGCGGCTCTTCTGATTTTCAAACAATGCGAGCTCGTCGCGTCTGATGTGGAAGAAATTGGATTTCTGGAAATCTAACAATGAGTAAATCTTTCGCCGAGACCGCCCAGGAGATGGTGCGATCTATTGGTTATTTTTCGAAGCAGAAGCGAGAAAGTCGATTTCAAAGAGCTTTGTACAAAATGATTTTTTTGTCAGTTGTGAAAGAATTTGCGCGCATCTTGATGGCGCCAAGTTTGAAATGTATGGTCTTTTCTTCTCAAATGTTTCCAAAAAGTAGCGAAACTGAGATATTCGTAGCGTGGCGCCAAATTTGAATTAATTGTACCTATGTACCAACACAACTTTTTACATAAATGTATCAACAACGCACGATGCGTATTTTTATAAATATAATTATTAGTTTATATTAACGCGAACGAACTGGGACCATCATTTTCGCCTCCTGTTATCAGTGATGCGTTACAACGTGCTGAGAAAGCTGAACTTGGGCAACTCTTTCATCGCGGCAGCCCAAAAGGTGGTGCAACCTATTAGTGATTCTCCAAAGCAGTTGAGAATCAATTTCAAAGAGCTTTGTACAAAAATTAGTATTTGGTCAATTGAAAAGAAATTCGTTTTTTTGAACAAGATTAGATTGTATTTCACTTGAATTGCGTTTTACTATATTCGCACAAGAAATTTAAAGAAAAAAATTGGAGCTGTTTTTGGAAAATTTCGAAAATGTCCGGGGAGTTTTATGTAAAGGACCCCAAGTTTTAAAGAAAGTTTTTCAAAATCTCAGAGCTTTGACTCGATCCAGATGGACAGGGGTTTCTTCATTGTGGAAAAAATACAACGCATGGTTTAGGAGCTAGTGGTTTTCACAGAGGGACGTTTTGAAAATACCCTTTTCCGGTATTAGGGGACCCCAAAACGTGTATTTCTGTTGAAATCTCGAAATCGATTTTCCGCTGCATTACATAACTTTCTCTACACTACGTATATT